CGACCCTTCCTTTTTCCTTAAAAACATTCCACCAACTGTCCACCCCTCCCACTCCTATCCCAGCACCCCTCCCATCTTGTGTGTCTTCTCTCCATCCTATACCTCACAATAATTTACTCTGGATGGAGTAACAGAGGTAGAAGGATAATGCTCTAAATATATAAATAATAATGAGAACCTTTAATAAAATCAGACATAAGTTATGCATGCAGACATAAGTTACAATGGATTTTAAAGGTTTTGATCTAGAACCCGGGTGGTGTTACATTTAGACTAATAACTGTAACCATGATTTATGTGTTTGCAACCAAAATGGTTTCAGTGCCTCGATATATGTCCAAAGTAAAATTTATAGTCTGCTACAGAATGTATAAATAATGAACGGCCGTATGTCATCACATATTTTAAAATGTGACCCCATTTGCAGCAGCAATGGGGGAAAATGAATTAAAATCTTTAGTTCATTGGGAATCAACTTATTTGAGAGCACTTTAAGGAATGTGCACAAATGCAAACACTGATTTAATATATTTTTCCCCAAGTGAAAGAAAAATGACTATTGTAAAAATGATGAACATTCTGAGGGTACCTCAGGAGTCCTCAAATTAAACAGTGGCAGCAGGGAGAAAAGAAGAATTGGCTGAGATGAGAAAGGAAATATCCCCGGCAGTTATTTTTCTGGCTCTTTTGTGACCTCAAATTATTACGAGGACTTGTAATGGAATCAAAATAAGTAAAATGGGTTGATGATGGCTTTCCACCTTACAACTTCCCATCCAGGTCAGAAAAGGAGGTGGAGGTTGTGCTGCTGATAGAAGTTGAAACCTACTCACTAATTCTGAGTCCCCAGCAAGTTTGTCACCACCCTAAGGTTTAGCTTCTTCCTCGGAAAATGAGATGACTAAAGTCCACTAGACAGGGTAGATGAAGGGGATTCATAAAACAGTAATAATGTGAATGAAAACAGCTAGTATGTGCCTGGTCCAAGAAGATGATGCTTACTAAATGCTAGTTTTAGTCTCTTCTTTGTAGATCCCCCAGTGGATTTTTAAAAATTTATTTTTATTTTTTATTAGTACATGTTTGGAGTAGTACAAAATGATTACATTCATTGGGGAGTTGGTACATGCACAGGACACATTTAATTCTTTTGTCCACTTTACCCTCTTCCTGTCCCTCCCTCCATCCCCTAGTGGATTTTAAGAAAGTACAAACCATATCTTATTCATATTTCTGGGGATGACACCTCGAGAAGGAATTCAGTCCATCTTCATTGAGTTAATTAATGAATAAATGAATGTGATTCCATGACCCTAATAGCTATTAGGAAGACTGAATGTTGAAAACTTTACAAGTCAAGAATGTGTTGTGTGGTTAAGATTGCTGGGAGAATAAAACAGTCCTTCATTAATGAATTTGCAGAAAATTGTTGACTCTGAGAGACTTTGGCTTGACTCTAAGACAATGTAGACAATGTTAGCCTTTCATCCAGGACAACTAAAATCATTTTAAAAAGTTACTCTCCACCTCTACGGACTGTCAAATAATATACTAATAAGAATGTAATCTTTCTTCCTAATTCAAAGTTATGAAGAATACATGTAGTTAATGTGATATAATTCAGTATTGTTTGTTGTGAAGAGTCTAGAGCTGGGTTTGATGTTTTTATTTCTTCTCTTGATTTTAATGGTTTCTGCTACTTCCCCAAATTTAACTTCTACTTTCTGCTGCTGTCAGATATTACCTTTAATTAGTCTTCCAAACTGCTTGAAGAACTGGACATCTGGTACCCTAGTACTTTAGGTATCTATCACTGCACAGGAAAACTCTTTCAAATTCATTGTTTCAAAATAATTTGCTAATATCTCTCCTGATTCTACACATTGTCTAGGAGAGATAGCTCTCACTTGGAATGTTTCCTATAGTTCTAATCGTGTGGGAGCTAGGGCCAGAGTTATTGGAAGGCTCAGCTGGGCTAAACATTGATAATAGCACATCACCTGGCTGTCATCTGTTGCTTCCTGTCAACTGGGTGGTCAGCTGGGGCTATGGACAGGAGCTCCGACACACGGCTTCTGTGTGCCTGAGGCATCTCACAGCTGGGTTCTGAGGAAGACAAGGCCAATGGGAAGCATCTCCAAAGACACAGGTAGAATATCTATCATCACATATGCCCTGCTTTACTGTTCAAAACATGGAAGGGTCAACACAAAGTTGAAGTAACAAGGGACATGGCTCATTGGGGAGCCATCTATGGAGCCTAACTCCCACAGGGGTTGTTAAAATTGGGTCTAGAATATTGAATAGGAATTTATTAAGATCACCAGGAAGAAAAATTTCTGATTTTCAATACTTAGATTTAGGGATTGTCTTTTACCACCACCACCACCACTAGATTCTTTTCTTCCACTACTTACCTGCTAACTATTTTACTATAAGGTTTCCATTAACATGATGTTTCAGTAAGTGGGGCTAGGAAGTATTTTGAAATGAATTGACTCAGCTAAATAAATCTTATGAAGCCCCAGTCTTAAGGCTGTTTTTACTGCATCAGTGTGGCTATATATCTCATGTGCTGGTTATTCCTTTAGTTTCTTTCCATGATAGGAATTAAATTTTTCTGACTCACAGCATGCCTTTTGCTATCAAGTTTGGGATAGAGATTGTGTCTATTTTACAGTCAAGGATTTCAAGCAGATAAATAAGTCCTTCTTTTAGGAACTTTTTAAAGTGTTATCCCTATTGGAACAAATATCAATTCAGTGTAGTAAAATATACTCTATGTCTTATTCTGTAGGTCAAGAATGAATGAAAAGAACCCAGTGTGTTAGTTACTTTTCTCTCATGGCTGAGACCAAATACCCAACACCTGGTCCTGGAATGTTGCTCAGCTGCACAGTGCCTAACTAACAAGCACAAGGTCCTGAGTTCAATCCTTTGGTGCAAAAAACAAAAACAAAGACAAAAAAACCAACACCCAAATTTAGGGGTTTATTTGGCTTACAATGTGTAGAAGTTTCAGTCCATAATTAGCTGGCTCCAAGATAGGGATGGCAAACAGGAATTGCAGAGGAGAAATAACATAGGGCACACAAGGTAGCAAAGGCAACAAGGGACCTTAACAGTGTCTTTCTGCTTCTTTTATCTTATTCAGACTACCAGGGATTAGGGTGACGCTAAACCACTAACTCACATGTAATGGTTTAGTAATCACACACCCTTAATCCTAGCATCACACATTCCAGGTTTAGCTACCTTCCAAAAAGACTGCATGAGGGGTTTGGAGGGCATCTAAAGGCAAGCCACAACACCGAAACATCATCTGTGCCCCTCAAATGTATGTCCTATAGTTTATTTAACTCCCTATTTTTAAATCATTGATTACTCCTACTCTTGTATATTTACACCTTCTTGTCCATCCAAAATCACTTCTTCAGCATGGATTTATCTTATGCATTTCCATCTTTGCTTTATCCACATAACAGTCAACAACCACGGAAGTTTACTTTGCTTTGCCTTTTTCTGTATACATTTTCCATACATAATGAATAAATTCATAGTGGGAAATTAGTACATATACATATTGAATCCTTTTTATATCCCTTCTCTTCCCTCCCTCCCATCTTCCCCTATCCCCAAATAACCCTTCCCATATCCACAAAATCTACTTCTCTGTTTCCTATGTCTATCTTTTATTTTGCTCTTTATATTATTTATACTTTGGGGTTTGCATATAAGAGAAACCACCTGATATTTAACCTTCTCTGTATGATTGATTTCACTTAGCATTACAGTCCCAGAGTGAATTCATTTTCCTACAAAAGAATACTACTCAGTCACAAAGAAGGATAAAGCATGGAGTTTGACACTTCTGTTTCCTTCACCAAATAGGTTGTAGTTTTGTTTTTGTTTTTTAGTACCAGGGACCAAACTCAGAACCTTGTGCTAGCAAGACAGGCAGTGGAACCACTGAGCTAAATCCCTGGCCCCATCAAATGGGTTTTTATCTTGCTTTAGTATCATGCAACCTGGTCCATATACTCTGACTCTTCCACTTGATTGACACAATTTGTCCGGAGGCAGGACTCCCTCTAGCTTCTTGACTCCCTCCCTTTAGCATTGTCTTTAGTGGAAGTCAGATTGTGTTAGCTTTCCATCACCATAGCAAAATACCTGAGATCATTAACTTACAATGATAAAAGGTTTATTTGAGATCCTAGTTTCAGAGGTTCCAGTTCATGATAAGGCAGGCCCATGAGTTTAGGCTTCTGCTGCACATGTCAGGTGGCTGCGTCAGGAAGTGCATGGCTGAACAAATGGTTCACCTCATGGTTGGGAAGCGAAAAACAGAGAGGTAAGAAATGAAACCCACAACCCTCTCCATGGCCATGCCCCCAGTGACTTAAGACCTTCCTACTAGGCCCCATGTAAAGTTTCCACTACCTCCCAGCAGCCTCAACCTGGGAGCCAAGTATTCAACACAGGGGCCTTTTGGGGATGTTCAACATCTAAACTGTCACACAGGTTTACATAGACTTGAGTCCTCCCCAAACATCAACACAGAGCTGAACTGACTGATGCAGTGAAGAAAACTTATGCTTTGTTGTATTAGGCAAGATTCTCCCATTCTCTGAGCTTTCACTTCTTATTTCACGAAATGAGAAGAATAAATCTTCTCTCAAAAAGTCATAAGGAGGCAAAAAAATGCACACCCAGCTCTAAATTCAGTGACCAAAATATTATAAGTGTCTGATACTCCTCCCTTCCACAAAAAAATCAATCTATTATATAGAACACTGTAGGTGCCTCCAGTCTGCTTGACCAGGTGGGCACCGGTACTAGTCCAAGTCTAGGTAGGGATGTTTCCTCAGTCTGAGTGATCAGAAGGGAGGTTATAAAAAGGAGATAGTTACAAGTCAGGGTCATTTAAGGCAAAGCTACAAAGGACAGTGCATTACCACTGAAGTAGGATCCAGGAAGAGTAGAAAGGCAAGGAACGCCTGGTGATATCTCTGGCCTTCAGCAAAGAGTCACAGCCAGTCTTGGTTACCTGCGGGGGAGGGAACCAGAACATCAGCTACACTGCTATACTCTTCCCACTCTGTCAGTTAGGTTGATACTTCCTATCAGATGAACCCAATCAGAAGACCAAAGGCCAGGGGAACCTGTGGTCCACACAGGTCATCCTTCCAGCCCACTGAACAGGAGAAAGAAGGTAGCAAATGGATGTTGACATGTGAACGAAAGATATCAAGCAAAGCTCTGTTTTTCTTAAAAGCCAGTTGCTTCAATTGCCTTGAACTCACCCAATCACCAGGCATGGATCATATGAAGTTTGAAACTTTGAGCCCATAAAGATGGTAGGCTTCTTTCCTGTTTGTTCTCAAACTGAAGTCCACAGTGTCTTGAGAATTTGAGAATATGTTGTTGAGATCTCAGAATTCTACATAATTTTACAAAATTGTACAAAACATTCTACAAAATTCTAAAAAAGGTGCTTCTCATTTCTAAGGAAATAAATCAAAAACATACAGTGATTCACTTTATTACAAAGTACTGGCACACAATTTCTGGGCCTCTTTATTTGTGTGTGTGTGCATGTGCGAGTGTGTGTGTGTGTGTGTGTGTGTGTTTCTACTTGAGATTGATCCAAATTATATTTCCATATATTGTAGGGAAGAAGGTTTTGTAGTGAATGGAAAGAAGTGAGTGTGGTCCTAGCAAATTCAGAGTAAGGACAAGGTACAAATGCCCTGCACCAGAATTTTCAACATCATAGTCTCTTATGAGTGGATGTGTTTCATCAGTAATGTCTGTTTCTGCTATCTTTGCAATGGTTAGCAAGCAATGTTTAGAAGTTTCCTTTCATTGATTCCAGCAATAATAGAACTATATGTCTATTTAACTTAGATTTCAAAAAGCCAGAGTGTTAACCTCATCATCAAGTGCACAAGTCAGCTTTATGGAAAACCAAGTAGACCCTTATAAGTTGGTCTCACTTGATGGCTGAATTTTAGTTATATATTAAAGGCTCATGACCCAGTCAGTCTACATGGGGAATTAAAGACTTGGGTGATGTTAATGTTGATCTCTGCTATATAATTACCAAGGAGTAGGAATTTTCTCCATTATCACCATTGAAGACAAAACATGAAGAGAGATTAAATGTAGAGCTACGCCTGAGGCTACAGTTTTCCACTATTAAAGCTCATAATAGCAATTTATTTTTCAAGTATCTCACTTCAAATTAATGTAGCTAATTTGGATTTTGTTGATATCAGAGCTTCTGTGATTCAATTTGTGAAATTGCCTTGATTTTTTTTCAGTTGTGTAAGATCAACAAGCATGAGAGTTTATGCCCACGTTAGTGGTCACATACATTTATCTGGAGTTATAAAAATAGTGAGCCAATACTAAGGCTTTCTTTCACTCATTGCCTTGCCTCTTAAAAAAAAAAAAGGTACCTGCAAAATAGTTGGAGGAACTGCTGTCAGTTCATTCTTTCTCTTTGGGGCTGGTTTTGGCAATGATCTTCAAAAGTATCACCATGCTATCAGGTTCCTGCTGCCAGGAAGACAGAATCAATCATTGACAGGGCCCCTAGATATGAAAAAGGGAAAAATAGCCCCAGCTCTACCACCCCCTGCTTTCAGTTCCAGAGTCCCCTTCACAGTGACAAAAGTTCACTTTCATCCTTTCAGAAGGTGACAGGCTGCACTGCTTCCCACCTGGGGAGATGTAAAAATAAAGAAAACTCAGCTTGTTCTGGAGAAGAGCTGTCAGCCATAGGGACCCCTTTCCTTTAGCAAGCTGCCCAGCATCATTGGGAAGTTAGCTCAAGTGTCAGAGAAAACACTATAGATTTTTTAGTCTGTTTTGTAAACTAGTCAATAAGCCTTGCTTTTCCTAGCTTTTTTTCTTCTAGCTCATTTCTCTGCAGCTCCTCCCATCTTCCTTCTCTCACTTCTTGTTTCTGTGTATCTTTCCCTCCTTCTCTCTTGCGCCTTCTCTCCCTTCTCTGTCTCTGTTGTCTCTGTCTCTCTCTCTCATCTTTTTTTCTCTTTATTCTTTCTCCATTGGCATGCAGTTACAGTAACTTCTCCTTAATTAAACTGAACTAATGTCAGAACCATAATAATTTATACATAATTCTTTTTTAAGATAAATCATGATGGGTTTCCATTTAACAACATTAGCTTTGCACCCATGTTTATAGCAGCACAGTTTGTAATAGCTAAAGCTTGGAAACAGCCCAAGTGCCTCTCAACTGGAAACTGGATAAAGAAGATGTGGTGTTTTTATAAAATGAAGTACTACTCAGCCGTAAAGAATGAGAAACTACAGACATTTATAGCTGAATGGATGCATATTGAGGCCATACTCTTAAGTGAAATAAATAGGACACACATGTGTAAATACCTAATAGTTTCTCTAGTGTGAGAAACTGAAAGTGTAAATAAGAATTAAAATGATTAAAATGAATAAGTGATAACTTGAAATAGGAAGAAAAGGCCCAAAGAGGTAGGGGTGGTGGGAGGGGAAGGGGAAAGGAAAGAAGGGAAAGGAAAATTATGAGAAAAGGAAAAAATGGAAATAGTCTATGTAAATAGGGAAGGGTAGAGGGGGTGAAGGGCACAGAGAGAATGGGGAAAAAATGAGAACCAAGATACATCATGTACAGGTGCAAGCACCCAGTGATAAATGCATATTATATATCTAAAATGTACCAATAAAATAATTTAAGGGAAAAAAAGTGGAAAAGATGTTGAAGTGTTAGAATATACTCCTTGCTAGTCATGCCTGTGGGCTTCCTGGTTGCTTTTGATACAGGAGAACTTTGCAGTCTCTTCTTGTTTAAATGAGTGCAAAAAGAAGCCATTAGCAGATCTCACCACCATGTGTAGAGCAACCTCGTCAAACCTGAGTTGTGAATTATACTTAAGTAGAGCTCAATTTTGGCCAGATGCTGTTCTGAGTGCTTCTCATACAGTCATTCCCTGAATTCCCACAGTAACTTTAATGAAGTAGATTGTCTTACTAGCGCCATTTTCTAGATGGGGAAATTGAGGCGCTGAGAAATAACACTTCCGCCACTCTGCTCTCGGGGAAGGCCTGTGCTAGATCATCGCAAATACTTGACCATCAGCTTCTTAACTTCCTCCAGAAGTAATTCCACCGGCCGGAAACCATGTCACAAAGATGATGACTGGGTGTGGCAGCCACATACCCAGCGGGCCTGGTCTGTGCTCTCTCTGCGAGTAGAGAACACTGCCCTTGCTTTCTCCCAAGAACAAACTAGCCAAGAACACCACTTCATCTTACAGACTTGCTCAACGTTTCGATTATTAGATTTTTCTTTCTACTTTTTCCCTCAAGCCCTTATCCCCCAATGGATTACCATGTAGCTGTTGGTATGGATTAAATTTTACCACAGAAACAGCAAAACAACCTGTGTGGTTTAAAATAACCACACATCCATGTCAGATGTCCATCAAGATCACTGGGGAGTCTGCTCTTCCCAGGGATTCAGGGACCCACCCTAGGGAATGGAGGCTCCACCTCAACACATCCTCCTGCAATTGCTGTGGTAGGGAGAAAGAGGCACAGAATGGTCTCCTCCTCCTCCTCCTACTTCTCCTCCTCCTCCTCTTCCTCCTCCTCTTCTTTTTCATCTTATTCATTTTAAATGTTTAATTCAGTGGTATAAATCTATTTACATTATTTTGCAACTAGCTGTGTGATTCTTAAAGACTAAAAGTATTGCTAATAATTTCTCTTTCCCACGTTTCAGGTTCAAAGGAAATAATCTGAGTTGAAAATATGTAACTTTCACAAGCTAAAGATTCAGAAAAAAGTGTCAAGGTCTTATAGCTCTGTGCATTTCTTCTTTGATCATCTAATGCAGTTTACCATCAGTGACTTGTGAACAAAGAAAAGCTAAGTGTGAATCATTCTATTCACATTTACTTTTTAGTATGTATTTATGTTAATTGACAATATGTATATAACAGGAAAATCGCTACTTAGAATTTCAACTACTTTCTAAAGAGAAAAGTTGATCAGGAAAGGAAAACTCCTTTTAATCCAAGATGCCTCAATCCAATTTGGTATTAAGATTTGCAGCAAAGAAGCAATGTGCTGAATTCATTTCCTCCTTCTCTCACACCCTCATTCCCTTCTTCCCATCCTGTCTTCTGCATTCACTCTGCCTTCCTTCCTTTCCAATCACAAATATGGGTTGAGCTTTTAGTGTGTTAGAATATTAGTTCTTAGATGTGCTGGTAATAAAATGATGAGGCAGACCAACAAGAGTCTCAGAAAAGAATCTCCATTATTTCTGGGGGATGGAAACTAAATTAATAAGTTAAAGCAGAGAAATCTCTGATTGAAGGGAGAGAATAAAATAAGACAGTGTGACAGAGTGACCAACATCTGCACTGGATTCAGTGCCAAAAGTGTTTTCTTGAGAATGTTTCATTTGTGCAGAGAATTTGATGAAAAAAGAACCCACCAAGAGGAGCATCTTAACCAATGGCTGGTAAAGTGGCACCGGTGAGGTTGTCTTTAACACACAACACAAAACAACAGAAAGACCTGACTATCTGGAGAGAGGAAAATGAGGCAAGATGTTGGTGTACCAAGGAAATCTTTACTCTTACATTTTGAAAATACTATTTACTGTAAGAGCTGAAGCTGAGTACACTGGAATCCCTCTCTGAAGTTCTCTGGAGTCAACAATATACCCCTGAGAAGATTAGAATAATTTTGAAAGATTTCCTATTTTCTTTAGTGGACTTTGTCACTAAATAAAGGATGACAGTTGGTGTATCCTATGCACTGCAGACCAGAGGTTGTTGTGTTGCAGGATAAGTCTGGAGGAAGTTAATCTTGGTCTAATAATTGCTGTGAGCTTTGTGGTATGAGTCCAAATTGGAGCCTCAATTCAGCAAATGCAGCTTACTTACTTGGAGTGACAGCGCCCTGGAATAGACAGACACTATCATGCAGTTTTACTGTAAGCCATCATTGTGTTTAAAAATGTGTCCCTGTTAAAATGTCTTTTAAAGTTAAATTTTACTACAATATTTTCCTACTATTACAAAAGATATATTTTACATATCTCAAAGCAGAAAATAATAAGTTCAACATGTCCCATCCATTCAGAGATAAACAGAGTCAATCTATTTGCACATATTTTCTCCAATATATTCTGTGTGACTTTCTTCCTCAAAATTAGACTCTACAGTACTTTATTAATTCATTCTTATAATCACTCAACAAATATTTACCAGGCTCCTATTGTGAGTCATATGCCTGGGAAACAGGCTTGAACAAAACAGATATCCTTGAGGCCATGACAGAAATTTAGTAAGGGAGACATATTTTTTAAAAATCCAGAAGACTTCCAGTTTTAAATTAGCAAAAATATCTGCCTCATTTTCTTTCAGGTATCATTCTGAAACAGCACAAAGAGGAATTTAAATGCATACTCCATTTATGAAGAAACTAGCAAAAATCTATACCTCATAGCGCTTACACACACACACAGAGGCATGTGGATCATATTGTAAGAAGCTATCTGTAAATGAGGGAGGTGGGGAGCAGTAATTCTGTAGTCAATGATCTTTGTTCTGTGATTTTTTTTTTAAATGAAGCAATTAGCAAAGCTGATTCTGGAGTGAAATAAAGTCTAAGCAAACTAACTACTAACTACCAGTAATTGTTGTCCCAGGGTATGAAGCAAACAAACCAAAACCTCTCCAGAAAAGTGCTAGACTCAGATGATTTTAATGCAGTGTTTGACCAAATGTAAAAGGACTAGATAGCTCCTGTAGTATTTAACCTCAGCTAGAGCTTAGGGGAAATGAAAAAAAAAATGCTTTAAAATTCTTGCTAAAAACTGACCATGACATTGATAGCAGATCCTCCCAAAGACAGCAAAGGCTCAGCTCATTTGGATCAAATATAATCCAGAAATCACTTGTAAATTCCAATACCATTATTTTGGCAAGTTTTAACTTATTTTATTCCTTCATCTCATCTGAATGGCACTTCCAAAGGAAGACCCAACATATAAAGGTAGTGAATGTACCTGCTTATTCAGTATACCATAGCATAGCATAGTGTTTTGAATAAAACACTTACAATATTATAATTACATGCAAACAGTAACAATAATCCCCAACATCATTTGATGTCCAGGCAATGTTCAAATTTCCTTAATCATGCTATGAATGGGTTTTGTAGTATATTTTCTGACTATATATATATATATATATATATATATATATATACACAAAGATATAAACAATTTAAAGAGCAAAATAAAAATGAGATGATAGAGAACAGGGACGAAGATTTTATGGAGATGGGAAGGGAATCTAAGGGTGACGTAAGATGGGAGGGATAGGAAGGAAAAAGAAGTAAAAGGACCAAGATATAATATGTATATGTACCAATACCCCATGATGAATGTTTATTATGTATTAGAAATATGTACTGTAATAATAAAAATTTTGAAATAGAATAAATCTGCTTTAAAAATCTAATAATCATTAAATTTTAATATCATGAATGTATTTCCATATCAATAATTATTAGTAATCACCATTCTAATGAGAGATAGCATTTGATGCATAATGAAACATAAAGGATGTCAATAGTTGTCACTTTTTACTTCAAAGAGAATCAAACTGAGCTGTTTAGTAGTAAATGATTTTACACCTTGAATCGTTAGGTCCTGTTTGTAAAAGTGTGAATGATAGACTAAAGTGTGTGCATATGCTAAAAGTACATTTTGCCAAACTCTCATCTCTGAATTTTTAAAATCAACTTTCTCCTAAGGCAGCTGTGCACAGAAGTATCCATTTGCCTGAAGGAGCTGGAATTTCTATCAGTGTTTTAAAAATCTACTCGAAGAGTAAAATAGTACATTTCACTTTTGCTTAACGAGACTGACTTCTCTAATATGTGCCTATTGTCCATGTGCATTTCTTCTTTTCTTTACTAATTTGTTTTTCCCTACCAGTGTTTTATTCTTAGAATTGCCATTTTGGATGCTACATTGATTATAAGTAATCTAGTTGGGAAATAAAATCAAGATACTCAAATTGAAGAAGAATGTGCTTAGAAGAGTGAGCCTTTTGTGGACAGATAAGTGAAGATTTTAGAGAAATTAGTTCCCTCTCACAACAAGTATTCAAGGAGAGACCTCAGTCCTTTGGTGGAGCTGCATAGGACAGATTCCAGACAAAATGTGAGGCCTGACATGACGGTGCATGCCTGATAATCCCAGAACTTGGGAGACTAAGGCAGGAGGATTTCTGTGAGTTTAAGGCCAGCCTGGACTGCACAGTGGATTCAAGGCCAGCCTGAATGAAAATGAGACCATGTCTCAAAAAATCACAGAGAGAAAAAGTGTGTGTGTGAGAGAGAGAGAGAGAGAAGAGAGAGAGAGAATGAACAACATGTGAGAATGTGGAATGAGTCTATGTTAAGGCTTCCTGAAACCTTGAGACTTTCTGATTAAAGTAAAGAAAGAAGGCTCTTAAGAGATCAAATATACAATTTCTCAAAACTCTGAAAGTTATAGAAAAATTTTTGTTCTACAAAGGATAGTTTCTTACTGTTTCTGGGTAAAGTCTTACCTGGGTTTCAAACTAATGAGATGGTTAAAAATCAGGTTTCTCATGAAAAAGTAATTTATTTTGTTAACAACGAAGATTATTAAATGTAAGAGAAGTGAGTGAGAGACAAAGGGTAAAGTGAGAGAAATATGTGTACAGAGAGACCAGAAGAGGGAAAAACAAAGAGACAGAGAAGAGAAAGATGGTTCATCAGCTTAAGTATTAGATTGAGCCTCTGCATATGAAGTTGAATTTAATGTTTTTTGGTTAAACTTCATTTTACCTTTCCATTATTTTTTCCAGTGTAGTATTTCCTTGATTCTAAAGATGATTTGCATGCTGTGAGTGTCAGGAATTTTTCTTGTCAGCTGAGAACCATTGTTAAAGTCCATGGTAGGATATCAAATGAGAATGACATCATAGACTTGAACTAAAAATTTCTCAGGGTTCACTTTGTGTAGAATTCAGAAAGTCAACCAGAGAATTGCAGACA